CGTGCAAGAACTCCTGAAAATACATCCACGACAGAAAAATGTACTCGGGTCAGCTCAATGACGTCACGCGTCTTCTGGACCCGAGCCCGAAAACTGCTAGAACTGGGTTAAAGGCTTCCCAGAACACTGAATTAAATCAATATCATTTATCGGGTTTCCATACGACGCACGGTTTTATAAAGAGAGAGAGAGTTGTATCCGTCCGCATTTATCGTGCACGGACTGACATTAAACGTGTTCCTGGAGATCTATTCGTAAGGTCATGGGTTCAGTCTTCACGACTAGAAAATAAGTCGCGTGTGTTACGTGCGTGACTTGCGTTAGTCGGACGGTCGGTCAGTCGTATAGACTAGTCAATCAGATAGTTGAGTCATCTGGCCAGTTCAGTCAGCGAGTCAATGAATTAGCCAAACAGTCAATCGTTTGACAGTCAGCTAGCCAGTCATCAGTCAGTCAATCAAACAATCAGTCAGTCAGTCGTACAGGTAAGTAAGTACACACAAGTGTCGAGAAATGAATGAGACACAAGGTCACGAAACAAAACAAAACTGTGTGACGTCAGGCCCAGCGCTGCTATCTTATATCTCTGTAAAAGCCAATGAACTCTACAAAAATAAAAAAAAAACTGTCCTCGTTAGTGCCCATACTGATGATTATTTAACGACGCTTTGTCAGCCCATAAATATCAAGGCTGACAAGTTTCCCCTTACGTCGGTTAAGTTTTTGGCCTCAGCATCAGCGCTTCTCGTCAGAGTTGAGTGCTAACAAACAAGTGACAGGCGGATGTGTACGCTGTATCAACTCCTCAACATTACTGTCCAAAGGACGACGACGATGAACTATTAGGTACCTGGATCCAAAGGTCCAATACCGTCACTGGGCATGATCCTGAATGCTTCCAATCCAGTTCGCACCGTTAAAAACAAATTCCGTAAATTCATCCACCTACAACCCTGATGATGGAGACAGTATGCTCCTCTTAAACCCTTGTGTCTACCTTCCAAGCCGCCGTGACAACCTCAGATCCAACTCATGATTTTCCTCAAGGCTTCGCACCCATTCCAGCTGTTTGCTGTTACACTCAAGACACTACGAGTTCTGTAAGTGAGGCGGTTTCTTACGAAATCGGAAGGTCTGTTGCCAAGCAACGAACAGCTAGACACGTTTAATAACAGATGACGCCACAGGCTATGCAAATAGGTGGAATCCAACGCTCACAAACAAACATGCATTATGCATCCATGAGAAGAGTCTACTGCGCGGGGAGGAAGGGGGGGGGGTTTCTGTTCTCCTCAGGCGACCTCCGTTCGAACCTCGGTCGCAGTAATCTAGACGCACAGAAGTTTGAATGTGAAATTGCAAACTGTTCGTGTCACTATACAGAAGGCGTAGGAATCCTCGCATCGTGCTTTACAGAATGTCATGGGTAGGAGGTCAGTACTTTTCCATCGAATTCCAAAGATCTCGTTAGGAAACAAACCGCCTACTCTGATTTGACTTCTCTCAGTTGTTCCAGGAATATGATACGATAGTACCTTATAATAGGCCACGACGATTTCCTTCCGATTCACGCATGCTGTTAATAAAACTGCGTTAACTTAACCAACAAAGAATCCAAGCGTCTTTACTGTCGTTAAGAGGTGGAGGTAAGTGGTCAGTTTCACACTTGGGGGCAGATGACCCCCGTCACACATTGTATGAAAACCCAGATCCATTCTGGAGACGACAAGAATGATTCCAAACGTAATGAAATTAAAATCGACAGATTCAGCTGATGGATCGTATCGAAACTGTACAATACCAAATTTCATACTAATCCGTTCCACGTGCAGAGAAGTAACGCGAAGCAGATTCCAACGCCTGGCTGAAACAACTCCTCGCGTCTCTTAGAGGGTTTCAAATTATTCGTCCAGACCCTCCCTCCTCTTATACCATTCAAAGGCATAACAAATGAACAAAGCACGGGACACGTGAATAAGTAAACTGCATCATGAGACTGCCTTACGGGACCTTTGCGCGCGTTTTCGACTGGCGCCAAGCAACAACGTCACACGGACCGGATACCGCAGGGCGCAGGAATGGGTCTGAATCCACGGGAACGCAACTGTTCCAATCTCGGCTCTGATACCGGGTATCCTGGCTTCGTTTTTCATGAGTTTACTCAGCACCTCCACGTAAATTCTGGTACATTACCACTTCCACGTGCTTTTAAATTCATCATTCATGAATGATTTTACCATCTAACGCTGTATAACCTACACAGTTGCAACAGCGTAATTAAATATTCGAAGAACTCGGATCCAAAAGAAGACCACGTGGGATTCGAGGAGGGGGGGGGGTCAGTTACATCCGAATTAACTAGTTTCGTTTTCACTGACTTTTATAATCAATGCTACCTACGTATAAATCAATGCGAGATTTGATGACACATTGCCCTGATGATGGAGGCAGCAAAAACCTCTGAAACATCCATGCTCATTTCATAATAGTAAATTGGACGTTAATTTCACAGAAAATGAACGTCTAACTACAAACATGCAGAGCATTATGAAGACAGAAAAATCTACAAATATATCTATAAATCAATAAATGCATTGCATCGAAATATATAATAGTTTTAAAATGATAAAAATGACGATATAAACCTGAAGATGATGTCATAAAACATCGAAACATGTCGTACAATTAATAATAAGCGCCATAATAAATGTAACATCATACTACGATAAAAGCGCCATAACATAACATAATATAACTTGTTGTAATATTTTATACTACAGATGTTATAATGTTATATAAATTTTAACAACAACATTTTAAATACGTTTGTGTATAGACTGTGATAATAAATATATATATATCGGTAAACCTTTACCAGATTACACGGCGCAACAACCCAGAAGAAATCTTCGACGGAAAATATTTTCTTTTTTGTATTGGTACGTTTGGTATTTGATATGGGTTATGTGTATAAAACGTAAAGCAACATTTTGAAATATAATTAATAAAATTTAGAATATACTTTTATTTTCACGCATGTTTTAGGCATATAAATAATCTTTGTACTGGTATCAGGGGCCTTGGGTACAAAACTGTAATTGAATTTCGGTGTTTCAAGCGATCGCGTGCCAACTTTCGTGACTACATCCATGGCGACGCAATGTTGAGACCCACTTGTGGTGGGTACTGAGTGTACCGATGCTTAAGAAGGCCATTTCCATAGAAACGACATTCTATCGCGGGCTCCGATCACGATGCGGAATTGTTTCCAGCCGGCTGCATCAACGGCAAGGGTCAAGCCTCTTTTGCACCCGGGAAGTATTCATCCCTCATCTGTTTACGGTATCAGACGCCAGGTTCGGGCGACTTGGCATTTCGGGAAGAGTCGGGATAGAGTGACACTAGAAAACACAAAGAGACGCGGGCTTTCAGGCACGCTCAGCAACTAGCAACTGCCCCCAAAAGATGCGCCAACTAACTTCGTCATGTCTCTTTTTCTCATTTTCGTGAAATTTTTTGGGGGAGTTTTACTAAAACTGTGCTCAAAATCAGATACAAAAACATCGCGAATTTCACACGAAAACCTACATGTGCCAGACGCCTCGCTCACGCAAAGACTATTAACCCTAGACAACTCTGACGTCAGTAACAGTCAGAAGTCTATTCTGGCTAACTCGTCAGATTTGTAAAGCTACGTTTAAAATGCCTAATTTTTTGTTGTTAAAATCTTGGCTCTGTCAAGTTAAGGAAACGAAACCTCCTCCTCATATGCAAGGCAGCAGGAACACACTGCAGCAGGTAGTATCAAGTTTGGCCACCATCATCACCGGACTTCTCTTGGCCTAGTGCATTTTCGACACAATAATGTAGCAGCGAAGAGAAGTGTACACCCAAACCCCGTCGCTATGAAGAACGGATAAGATTCTGACACTGCAATAACTTGGTCCGTGTGCAGAATTATACGGGATGCTACGCAGCATCCAAACCACTCGGCACAGAGACTCTTAGTTGAATAAATATGTGAAGAGCGCATCAGTATAAATAGTCCGATTTTCATCACCAGGCAGCACCGCTCCGAGCTGCGTGACCTTTGGGTAGATTCTAGTGTCCTGGTAATCTAAATTTAAGGCTTTTTCTTATTACACCGTTCACGGATGTGGTCTTATCGTAGGATTACTTCTGAAATCATGACTCGTAATGCTTTGACGAGTGATCAGCCCGACTCAAGGCCTCTGCCTGTACAAAGGACACAACACCACAGAGAGACGAGGACACACAGCCGTGCCTTGAGTAGGATTCGAACACACGATCCCGGTGTTTCAGTGGTCAAGACCCAGACTATGAGGCGAGTGTGATAGGCTACACCAACGACTTTGGGGGTACAAAGTTGAAGAGAAATTATATCTGGGGGTATTATTTATTTAGTGTTCTGTCTGACGACAGGTCCATATGAACAGGATCCTTCCATCCTTTTCTCGGACTGGGACCTGTTCATATACGTTCTTGGCAGATGATCCAGAAGTGGTTTGCCATTGCCTTCTTCTGTGTGTGAATGGAGTAATTGTTGGGATGCCACGGAGGAAAACTCCGTGTTGCCTAGACCACGGCCTTGCCCAACACAAGTTATAAATTCGGGCACCGCCGGGAATCGAACCCGAGACCCCAGGATTACAAGGCCAGCGAACAAAAAAAGGTTGAATATCATTCGTATAGTCTACTCATAAACCTATCATAATCTACGTATGTGAAATGGTTGGTCTGTAATAATTTGTAGGATTTGAGGTTTTTACGGCGATGAGATTGAATATGGCCGTCTTCTGGGTTGATGCGCCGCGTAGTCTGGTA